CACAACACCGAGGGTTGCGATCCCGTTGCCGGTCCCGGTCCGGTACGGGCGTGACACTGAGGGTTGCGATCCGTTGCCGGTCACGAAAAAAGAGACAAAAAGGAAAAAAAAAAAGAAGTCTACACAGTTTATACCACTCTGAAGTTAATGTCATTTAAAAACGACCTTGTTTTGAATAGTCTGTTAATCTTGTGACAACTTTAGAAAATTTAGAAAATGTCCCAGGCCGAAAGAGTTCTGCAAGTGATTAACCCTACAAATAATGCCTCATTTGCTAAAAAGACCCAAATTTCAAAAGAAATACTTACAATTTTTCTTGAAATCTGTTGGAGGGTACAGGACAAACATCAGCAGGGGATATGACCCCAGTGAATAATTCCTACTGTTTATGCTAGGCCGTCTGTGTGGGAACTGAATATAGTTAACTCCCAATCATGTTCACTGATAAAAAGGAACAGAGATGTTAAATCTAAATGGCTGATGATATAAAAATAATGTGCTTGAAATATGGTTTTATACCTACATTTGAATATGAATTTACTGGTGTTCTGGAAAATCACTTCAAACAAAATATTGTACACCTAACACAAGCACTAATTCAGAAGCACTAACTCTGCACTAATTCAGAAGCACTAACTCCTATACTGGTAGGCATCATCTTTCCAATTAATTCAGGGCATCAATCTCAAGCAGATCTGGTCTCTATCTAAATTTGCTGGCTCACATTTTCCCTAGGACAGGGAGATAAAGATTTTGGCTTTAATGGGCTTCAGTTACAGCTTCTGCTAATCAGAAGTTTAAAAAAAAAAAAAAACTATTGTATCAAAATACTTAATTGACAAGCATAGCTAAGAATTTAAATAAGAACTTGAAAGCAACAGTTACCATGGAAGAACAGTAATATGGGTAATCTATCTACAGTATTAATCTCAGCTTATTCTACAAAAGTCTTCAAAAATAAAGGGAAAAATATAGTAAAGTTCTTCTGGTATTCTAGGCTCCAAAGGGAAAGTATAGTCCATTCTACACCAGATTTCTTCCTCTCCCCCTATTTTTGCTGACTTTCATCAGCTTTAGTTCTTTCTAAGACACTTTCTTCAGCTCTTTGCTTTTGAACAGAGGCCCACATCAGCTGCTGATGGGGCCATTAGAACATAATTAATCAAGTAATCAGCCAGCCACCACTGTTAAAATGTTTTAATATCAATATAAAATGAGATCATGGTTTTACAGATTTCTGAACACAAACACTGATTTCTAAAATGGTTTCTCTCCCTTTCAGAAGCCTAAATATGAACACGCATAAACCTTAGGGATTTTTTTTAATTATGGTATTTTTTTCCATTTTAATACATCTACAGCTGGAAAACATGCAAAATAACTAATTTCTGAGTCAAAGGCTTATAGTAGAAACATCTAAATTAAAAATGAAGCATTTTCATTTACTTATTGGCCATGAAATCTAGCAAGAAACCACTCTTTCCACCACAACTCAGAAAAACCACCACCAATTCCTTTCTTGAGGATTGATGACATTAACAGTACTTAGCACTCTCCCTTGTTAGCTTCTGGACATCCCTGGTTCAGTCTATGTAAATTAAAGTTACAGTTCCAGTTACTGAAAATGTTCTGCCATCTTCTTCACTGCATCACAGCTTACAAGGCACCTACAACAATGCACAGTTTGGGAGATAAGCCATAAAGAACATAATGGCCTGACTGCAGAGTTAACCATACATCCTGGATCTGCCAATTTAGTGAGAATATTAATGGAAATGGAAAATTTCAGGAGGCATTCTTTTTTCTTCCTCTCCAAGTTACCAGAATATACAGTAGCAGGAAGTAAAGAGTAGAGGAAGGTGACAATAGCCACATACACGAAACTTCCCTAGAGCTAAAAGCAAACTAAACAAAATGCAAACTACAGCGGGACAAAGAACTGACTCTCATTTGGGTTTTATTTGTGACTGCAAGCAATCTCCAAACTAAGAGGTTCATAAGTTAGGAAACAATTTCAATGCACTGAGGGTTCAGCAATTTTCATTAGCATATTATTAAAATTTCCATCTTTTCTAAGAGATATGTGTGCTTCATTGTTGAATTTAGTACCAACAGTCAATAAACAATCAAATAAAATAAATAAACTTCAGATATTTCCTTTTTTCTATACCCACTTCCAAAACTAAAAAGCAACTCTAACGTATTTTTCTCTGCCATTCCTCAATCAAATTAGCAAAACAAGTAAAAACTCAAAATATAATTGTGATATTACACAAGATAATTCATTTTCCTTCAGTAACTTAGTCTGTTCCAAAGTATTTCTGTCCAAAATGTGTAGGTGCAACAGGATGAACTTCAGTAGTTAAAATTGTGATCTCTGGAAACTCTTGAATGATTGATTTGGCACCTTCAGAAAATAAAAGAAAAATTGTTGTTATGGCAGGATTTTTTGGTAACACTAGTCAGTATTCAGGAATTTTATAGTCATTATCGCTAGGTCTAATATTGACAGAGGCCAGACAGCAATGACCTTTGGATACCTAGTCAAACTTGGCTAATCTCTTTGTTTACATAATGTCTGATATCCAAAAAGCCTTGAGGGTAGTCAGACTACGCCCCTTCCCTCTCACTAATACATTCTTAGAATCAAATTGTTTTATATTCAAGATTTGAAAAATATAGCTATTCAGTTAAAACAACTTTTCCCCTGAAGAGTCTTTTTTGTTTTGTTTTATTTTTAAAGTGGCTGGAATAGAATGAATATAGTTCTTTCTAAAAAGAGGACTGCATATAAAAGATCGCGGTTTTCCAACTGGAACTCTGTGAAACAAGTACAAAGACTTCTTTGGTGTGTCAGAGCAAGCTAGCCTTTTAGAAGGTACAATTCTAGCTTTTACAGAGGGGGAGAGGCAGGGAAAAGGAATTAGGACTAGCTGGGACCCCAGTCAAATTAAAAAGCCATAGCAAAGCTGTCACAGAATAGGATTTTTTTCAGTTATAACGTCAAAGAATAGTATAATATTCTAATGTACACTATTAGAACTAAACAGATTATTTTCTATTCCCAAAGGGGGAAATCTCAATAATTACCGGATTAACTCAACATTTTCAATGCCATCTGTTATATATAAATGGATGACCAAGCAAATCACCCTTTGTCATCACCAACATTTGCAATACAGGTAATTTTTGGTTGTGAAACAGTAAAGTAATCAAATACGCCATAATTCCTATAGACTGGCCTACTGAAAGCAGCCTTCCCAACTATTTGTCCTGTAACCTCTCTTCAGGGTTGGCTGAGACTTAGAACCTTTGGAAATGAGGAAACACGCTTGCTAGAGAAGTCATGTATTTCTCTTATTTTCAATTATGAAGGAAATATGAATTCATTGTAGAACATTTGGAAAATATCCCCCAAAAAAACTTTAAAATAAAATGAAAATCACTTAAAATCCCACCATCCTAAGATAACAACTATTAATATTGTATGTGCATTTTGAAACCAAAATTGAAATAGTATTGTGTATCTGTCTAGCCTTTTCTTTCTGAGGAAAGATTTATTAGAGTCCATGTTAAATCCAAGTCTGATTTTGGTAATTAAAATAGTTGTAATTTGTATTGGTCATCTCTAAGCTTGGTGATAACAGTTTACACTATTCTAACGCTGTTATTTTTTATAACTGCTTTTTTGCATTTACCATGTACATGTTTTGATGTCAAATATTTTTCAAAAACGTGATTTAACAGTTACACAATATTACATCCTTTGAATATATATTATTTGTTTAACCATTTCCTTATTGTTAGTCATTTATATACTTTCAAATTTCTTCTTATACTAAATAACTCTTAATGAACATCCTAGAAGCTAAATTTCCATATGTATCTATGATTATTTTCTTAGGATAGCTTCTCAATTATCCTAGACCGTATGGCAAAAAAGCTAGGGCCTTAAATTAGGCACACCTCCCTCAGGAAATAGAGAACACACAGTTCCCTCACCGTGCCCTTTGAGCAGAAATCTAACTCTAAAAACTTCGGCTTTTTGCTTCACACTGCAAAGCTTTCTTCAGGAAGACCACAGAGCTAGCTAAAACATTGAGCTTCTTGCTATTTGTGAGTAGTTCTCAGGCTCAGGTGAGGAGCCAGAGGAAACAGGGCACCAGGAAAATAACTGCTCAAACAGGACCACCAGGAAAATAATTGCAATTCTTTTCAATGGTGTTAGTTCACACTTCTGCATTTGAATTTGAACTACATTAGAATAGTGTAAAATATTATCACTAAGCTTGGAGAGGACAAACATGCATTATAACTACCAAAATTAGATTTAGATTGAATGTGGGTGAAAATAAACTTTTCCTCAGGATGAGAAGTGAGACAGACACACACTTACCCATTCATGACCATCTGAAGCCCTAGTTACTGCCTCATGCTGAACTCACCATGAGGAGTGGAGAACAGACTGAGTAGGATAATAACACTAGGTTGAACTCCATGTTCTATAAGAACCTTTACAGCTTCAATTACAGTATTTCCAGTGCCTGAAATCAAAAGACAACCAAATGCATTAGCAACATTAACATTTATTTCAAAATGTCCTTTAAGTGTCTTTAAAGTAAGGGCAATATAGTAATCTAACATAACACACCACTAGGCCAAGCTTCATTTGAAGGTGCTTGTTCTTTATCAGTGTTATTTTCAATAATGGATATGACACATAACACTTTTCAGTTATCAAACTCATAATAAGCCCTAAATTCACTTAGTATTTGAAATATCAACTTTAACATATTCCCCCTCACCTCCCTGGGAGATCATGCCACTTGTGATCTGAGTAAGCTTAGGAAAGTGAAGAAAATAGCAGGGGGAAAAAAAAGGATTTATCTAGAAAGGATAAATCCTTGAGAAAATCACTGCTCTACTCATCAAGCTAGAGAGGGAACATGTTTCAATATATTTTCTGTGTTCTATATATTTTGCCTCATTAGATCCTTTGCTTCAATGTACTCATTTCAAGAAAAAGCTCTTTGAAGCTAATAAAGTTTAACTAATGTGTATTCTCTCATTACACAACAAAAATTCCCTGGTGAACTGCCCTAGGCAACTCCAAATCCAACTGAGAAAAACACATTTAGAAACTGTTTTTGCCTTTTATATAATGGTACCTAGAAGGCAAGCACTAAATTGAATTTAAACGCTAACCAAAGATTATAAATTAAACTCAAGCCACTCACTGAGAATTGGGTACATCAGAAGGACTTTTCTTCGGTAAATATCTGGGGGGAACTTGGCATAATATACTTTGGCTCTTTGTGTCTCCTCATCACTCTGAATCAGGATCTTTCCAATTCGTATGGATCGACAGCAGTCTCGTAAACCTTGTTCCATTGCCTCACCTTGAAGAAGGAAATGAAAAAGAAGAAAAAAAAGGGTTGGGAGAGATGAAGTACAAGTCCAAGAACAGGCCGAAGCACAGTTTGTGACTGTTGCTAATACAAAAAAGATACTGTCAAGAAAAAAGCAATTCTTAAGTTAACAGCTTCTACTTCTGATGTGCTCATATTTTAAACTTAGTGCAGGTCAATGAAACTAGGATAAGCTAGTTTTATTGCTGGCTTATAAATTTTAGAGCTGTCATGCTTCCATGATTACAGGAAATAAAGTGTTTTGTTGAGCTGTTCCCTGAGCTTTTTCAATATCAGGAACATTTTTACTCCTATTATTTTAAAGAAGCCTTTAAACCACCTACATTTGTCACTTTCATCTGAAAAATTATAAAAAGATTTATGAAAGACTAGGGACTGGAGACCCAAGGATTTCCATTTAGATCAAGGTGGCATCAGGAGAAATCATTTAGCTCAGCAAAGACTTCACTGGCAAAGGTTTTGCTGCAAACTGTGAAAAAGTGGCATATTGTTCCCCCTCCCCCAGAGAACCACAACCACCACCACCCGCTCTTGGTTTCTGAACACAGAGTTATTTTTGAGTCTGAATTCCTTTAAGGAAGAGTTTGCCAAAAGTCAGTCATTCTCATACCATCTTCAAGATTCTAGGCCATATCAGAATTCTACCAGTATTGGTATTTACTTAATATTTTTCTTAAATTAACTGTTTTCCTTTAAATTTATTTTTAAGAGGAAACTTTATATCACTACTTTAAACATAAAACCAAACAAAAAAGAAAAAAATAAACATAAAACCAGTTTCTTTCCCATATATATGAAAATCAACAAATGACTATTATAATAATTATTTATTATAATTATTACTTTTTTGCATTCTAAGATGTTGTTGTAGAGCAGTGGGGGGAGGAGGAGGGGGGAGGAAGAGGAAGGAGGAAGCGGGAAAGGGAGTGTGGTTGAGACCCATGGCATCCCCCTCATTCATGGCTGAGCTGGATGTAGACTTGGGGCGGGGAGCGTAGCTGAGGCCCTCAGCCCCTCCCCCAGAAGCCTGGGGCACTTCCACTATGGCTCTGTGGTCTTCACTGGACTAGATGTGGACATTGGGGTGGTGTGGCTGATGCCCTCAGCCCTCCACCTCCCCGGCTCAAACAAATGACTATTAAGGTTAAAAACAACTCTGTCTGCATCACTTGAGTCATCTGGTACACACTAGGGGTACAAGGACCACCCTGGTGTCTTTAAGGAAGGAGCTGGACTGAAACAGGACAAACTGTGCCTTAAAAGTCCATTGTCTTCACCAGTTTTAAAAAGCTGAACAACATTGTCCTGAGAATGCAATCATTACTTAAGAGCTTCCTTCCATAAAATAGGGAGCTTAAACCTCCTATTTTACTTGAGGTATTCAACTGTTCACAAATAGAACTTCATAGCCAGAGGAGAAAAGTCTGTATGTTGAAAAAAAATCCGTTTCCAGTGCAAGCAGGTGGGGCTTCCACCACCTGTGCAAAAAAAAAAAAAAAAAAAAAAAAAAAAAAAAAAAAAAAAAAAAAGTTTGCTGAATGGAAACAATCATCCCATGTAACAGGTACGAAGGTTTTTTTTGTTTTTTTTGTTTTGTCAATATACAATGTGGTTGATTATTGTGGCCAATTACTGAAACCTCCCTCCCACCTCCCTCCCAACAATGTCCTTTCTATATGCTTGTCCTATCAATTTCAAGGAACTGTAATTGTTATGTCTTCTTCCCCCCTCCCTGGTTTTTTTGTTTATTTATTTATTTATTTATTTTTAGCTCCCACAAATAAGTGAGAACATGTGACATTTCTCTTTCTG